GTAATAACTGAAAAAATAGTTGCGAAAAAAATTTTTTTTGTTAATACTTTTATTATTGTTGATATGAATAATTATAACAATTGTTTATGCGAAGCTGCATTTATCATAATCAAATTTTAATACCTTGTTGGTGCAAAATTAGAAGTACAAACGGTATGTATTATTCCACAATTTAAAAGTTCATTTGAGTTTGGATTTCAAATTAATTTTAAAGGTTGTCACAGCAAAAAAAAACTAATAGTACGAAAAATAATGACAAACGCCTTGGAGCCATCGTGTACAGTAAACCTTTTCATTTTTCCTTATAATCTCCTCTGAATACACAGAAATAAAAGAAGCAATCTCTTAATGACTCTTTACTGTCACCATTTACGATGCATTTTTGTACTATATTCTATACATTTAATAAAGGGATAGAAGCAATGTGGCCCAGATGACTATTCACAGACATCGTGACACGGCTCACGATGACAGCAACTATTAAACCGAGATTGGTGAGACATGTGTCAATAATAATTATAATAGTATCTTATTTAATTACTAAATAAATATCATTGCTCGTATTGTTCAATGACTCGGAAATAAGTAAACAAGACTGGATTTACAATAACAATTGTAATAAGCAATTTGTTACATTTTTGGAAGGTCGTAAGTATACACAATCACGTGAAAGTAACTACAATCTACCGCAAATTTAAAAAAATCAAGTTCCGTTACTTGGTTCCACAGATGTTGATAATTTCTCTGTGATGATCATTTTGAACTCGCTCTTTCGAAAAAATCCAGACTTGTGGAGGAGATTAGCCTCCTGTCGGATCTTTCTTACACTGGATCCATTCCGCAGCACGAAGTTCCTTTTCTTTGCGGTTAATCCATTAAAGTTACTTGCCCCTGGTTAAATGAAACGGCATTTTTAGATGTTACAGATCAACTCTCGGTGAACAAAAGTTTTTTTGAAAAATTTGGCTATGTTTGGCCATAACTTTTTTTAGGCTATTTTCAGGGAAAACATTTTTTTTTTCTTAGCTGCTCGTAAAATGTATATATCTGATCTTGCTGCAAGTAAGTAAGCATTATTAGGGTTATAATACCTATACTATATTCAAGTTTTAGCTTTTACGCTTTAGTTTAAGTTGAAACATGAGTTACAGATTTCTCAAAAAATTGCCTAAGTACACGGTTTTTTGCTTTTTACGAAAAAATCGCTAGAACGAATTGAGCTGAACGTGGCTCATTTTCTTTACTCGAAGGAGCTTCTTGCTGAGCAACCCCACTGCTGCTGTATTCAGGAAGAGGAAGGCGAGGTCTGGAAATGACTGGGCCTTACTTAACAATAACAAGTTTTATTAACATTGTTAAGTAGGGTTACAAAGTGCCTGTAGTGCACGAGCGACTCATCAAGACGATGGAAGAGTCAAGACTGACTGCGTGCGCGAGGCTTGCTGAGGCAAGAGTCTCATGGTACAGTAGGTACCCACAACATGGACGTGATGCCATATCACATCACCACGCCACACATTTTAAATTTAATAAATTTAATTTCTTTCAACCAATTCTAAAAGAAAAAGAAAAAAACAGTTCCAAAGAGATTTGAACCCCAGACCTCTGGGCATACTAGCCAGAACCCTTACCCACTCTGCTATGAGCAGGCCCAACAACGGGAATCGATTACTTCATGTAATCTTATAGTTCGTAACTTATTTTTAATAAAAATTTTTATTGAATGTATATTCATTTATTTGGTTTTATTNAGTTCGTACCTAACCTACGGAATTTTTTTTATTATTATTATTGATTATAAGTAAAATTATCATAAAAATTTTACAGTCCTGATGGCAGTTTGTGGCACACATTTATGTATATGTTACCATAACCTACATTTGTCAAGCATAGGCAATAATGTACTTACAGATAATTCTACTTTGTATGGATTTAAGCTAAAAGATGTTTGTCTCACAACGTAGCAATTGATTATATGACCGACTCCTTTATTTACATATTTCTGTACGTAGGCAACGTGCCCACTCTCTACTAATTTTTTAGCTTTTTTCAGCGTTTCATTATTAAAAACTATGTTGCAACTTATACTTTTAAAGCCTGTTTGGATAATCATATCCATTTTTTAGGGTGCTGATGTTTACGCGATAGCAGTATGTACGTCTTATTCAATAAATAAAACTTTCTCCTATAAGCGACAGTGTTAGGATTTATTCATACAAGGGTACGGTATTGCGCGATTCTGACACCGAGGGCGGCGCTCTGTGTCATGCACGGAGTGAATAGGCAGCACTGCCAGCCCTTGACTGTGTGCAGCGGCCGGTGTGTGTGACGTATACACAGGCAGGTAGCTACGGTATCAGGGAGCACGAATCAGCAGGGCAACAAGAAAGGCACTCTCCGTTTTGTCTGCTTCCCGTCGGAACGTATAATCCGAAGGCTTCGTTGCGAAATATATGGTTCCACGGGCGTGTATGCGAGATACCACTGAGTACTACACCGAGCGGCAACAGGTGGCGCAGCAACGGCTACCTATTGACGACCCGGACTGCTGTGACAACCTTCACGCATACACTTCCAAGGACTACTGGGTTCAAGTGCCAACTCTTGCTCGTCGGATCTCCCAGTGCCCAAAGCTAGTGCTGCAAAAAGATCCCTGCAGTAGTGAAAACGGTAGGCCTATTTCCTGTATATCCCGTCCCTACCGTGTATAATCGTTGTGCCGAGCAGCAACTGCCGAACCTGCACCCGCAGGGCTAAGGCTGCATAAAGTCAGGCCAGGTCGGGTAGTCAGGCAGGGTAAACTTTGTATAGAAGTAATGTTCTGAGTAATTAATAAATGCAAATAAATGCTTAAATGTTTATCTCGCCCATGTATGTACACTGATTACCAGCTATCTCTCCTATCCGCTTAGCCCTATAGTAAGTCATGATAAAGAATAATTTCATATGTGCCGTGTCTTGCTGCTGACTGCAAGGTGAGCAAGGCACGACACATCACAATACATAACCAAACTTAGAACATTTTTCCAGTCAAATGTATGTGTGAATTCAACAAAAGCGAGAGACAGAAATAAAGTTAATCTGTCAGAGTAAGAGAGCTGCCAGAGTGAACAAATTATGATGACAAACGTTTAATAAACGAAAAACAATCTATCCTGTATAGATGTTAACTATTGATTAAATGAGATATTTTGTGTCTCAGAAGTACTTCAATTGCTTATAGTTTTAATACCTAATGTAGTTATTTAACATATAAGTATATATTAAGTATTGAAAGTATGAGCAATGTCAGTACTTTTGAGATGCAATATCTCAAAACCATACACAATAGGCTTAAGTATAATGCCAAAAATTTACATTTTTCATCAATCTGCACATTTCTGTTGAATAATGATTATAATTGCGGCGTTAAAGTAGTCGTAATTTCTTTAATTATTGTACAGCACGTAAAAGTCATTTGAACAAGAATACATTTTTTGCACCAATCTATTTTTTATTCGATAATAAAACACCTGTAGGTATAATAGTGTATTTTATTATAATTCTATCTCACTCTATCACATTGAATCTATACATATATTTTAACTAGACTCAAGTTTGGTTAGGAGACAGTTCTTTAGGAGACCTAGAGAGGACCAACTGTACGCCGCGTTACTTTGCCTCAGTAGGTTCTCCATAAGCTATTTAGGTATCCTCTAGAGGGACTCTCGTTCGCCTCAACAAGATGACTGTTCGGGTATTATCTCTTACATAAAAGAAAATGTGTTGTCTGACTCATTTCAGTTATTACCGTTATCTCAAGATATGTACATTTAAAGCTATTGATTGAATAATACTCCTATATACTATATCTTCTATCTCTTCCTGAATTCTATCGTATAAATTCTTGTTGACAATACAAAGAATCATAGTTACATTTCATTCAAAAAAACATTCATGTATCAAACACCTAACCTTACAATTGTTATGATTGTCTTGGATTTATAACGCAGCTTCTTACTAAATTACCAGTCTTATGATGCGAGCAGCTTGCAGATTTACAGCATTTTACCAGCCAGGAATGCTTGTCCATTCTATTTCTTTCTGGGTACATTTTTTCTCACCCGAGCCTTGACATCTTAAAATCCAAATTTTTTGTTAGTAAAGTTTCCTTTTCTTACTGGAACAAAAAAAATTGTTTTATTTTAGTGAAGCAAATACGACTAAATTAAAATATTAACCTTTTTACGTAAGAATCTAGGAGAGGGTTAGTAATATATTGTATTTGACTCTACGTATACCCATTGCGTAACCTAATATTTACGTACCCTAATCTCCTACCTATACCACCGTGTCCCTATTGTTCCTAATTTTTGTCCTCTCTTTTTTTCAATATGAGAGTGATTTATGTGGATCCTTTTATTTAAACTGATAAATACCTAACGAGTGAGCTGGTAAGTATTAGCTTTCAAAAACAAAGCTGTAGTTTCTTCAGATAGGGGCTGAGAGGCTCTCGTTCTACCGACTTAGCCGCCAAAACTCCAAGTGGAGGATTAGCTTCACTTAAATTTTTCACGCCTAATAAATGCATAAAATCTGTCTTTAAATTCAGAACGCTATATTTTTCCTTTAAAAGATAATAAAAATAGATGCTGTTTCATCATATTTGTTGTTAAAAATTTTTTTAATTTTGTAATTTGTCACATCACCGAACTAAGTAGCTGTTGTGAGCATAGAGATATAAGCCATAAAGGGAACAAGGGCTTCAGTCTCGCGATATAGGCAGCAAGAGAGATAACTGCTCCATAGTTCCCTCTATCTCTTTCTGGCAAAATCCTCTGATTGGCTGATGAATAGTGGCTGTGGAAGCGTGGTGTTAGTGCTATATATAGGTATAATGTGAGAAGTAAGAACTACAGAATTGTAGACAGCTGAGACTGCTCACTAAACGTCTGCTACGTAATAGTTTATTAAATATTTTATTATTGCTTTTCCTATGTTTGCGTAAACTATTTTGAATGAGCAGCTGTAAATTGAAAGTGAAAAATGAAGCAATGTTTGCAATGTAAAGAGGTTTACTCCCCTCTGAATCAACGTAGTTTTCACACGCAAGTTTAATTATTATTGTAACCTCGTAAAATGGATTTCCTTTGATTGATTCTTTAATAATTTAACGTTATTTACCAGGTTTCCAAGTGACTGTAATTTAAGAACGAAGTGGCTGAATATTCTCAATTTACCTATGTCTTTAGAAGTGAAATTTAAATTTATATGTAGTGACCACTTCAGTGCAGACAGTTTTCATCAATCTGAAGGGCGAAGCCGAAGAAGGTTGCTGACAGGAGCACTTCCAGTTGTACATGAAGATGGGAAGACAATTTGCTTGTCTGAACCTCGTCATATTCAACAGGATCAATGTGATGTGGTACTTAGCCCACCTATGTACAAACATGTATCAACAGTTGACGCATCAAATGATTCCCTAGTAGCTGTCACCGAAGGTAGTCGTAGCAGCCATGAATCTTTTGATAATACAAGGAAAAATGATTATGCTGATAATAGTTCCCTGGAAGACTCTAGTATTACTGTGATACAGAGCTTAACTACATTAAAAAATGCGTCAACAACTATGAATATGCAAGAAAGTAGTTCGAACTATTTTCCACTTGGGACAAATACTGCAAGTCATAGCAACGGATCAGTTCTCCAAAATTGTGCTTCATCAGTCAATTCTGTAAATGTTAAAAGTAACTCGAGGAAAAGGTTTGAATATTTCATACATTGTCATATTTAATAATTTTGTAGCGTGTCTGAAAAATTATCATTTACTTGTAGGAAACTGACATGTGAAAATTATAGTGCACCAAAAAAGATCAAATTCATGGATGGATGTGAAACGCATTATATATCACGATCTCAATTTTTAGACGACGAGGGGTGGAACGTATTCCTGATTTATAAAAAAGTCCAAGAAAGAAAATTGGCTGCAGCCCAGAACAAAAAATCTCGACGTAATAAGAAAATTAAATGTTTGACTGGTGTGATTCAAAATCTTAAAAACACCAGCGAGAGGGGTATTGTAGAAAATTTCTTGAAGGTTAATTGAATTTATTTTTTAAACTTTTACGACATTTACGTCCAAAATGAATTTATAATCGTGATTTTTTATACTTTTTAATTATAAGAATAAATCTTAATGAAGTTTTTTTGTTATATTTTTTAATTTTTTCAATTTATTGTATTGTGATCAGAGATTTTTACACATTGAGTAATATGTACTTTTTATACATACCGACAAGACAACACTGAATTTGTATCGGATACTTGTCCTAGCAAAAAGGAACCGTCTGTCACACAACAATTGTACAATTTACATTGGTTTAAAATGTAACAAATATATTTACCTTAGAAAGTTGAAATACCTATTTACTCTCATTTATTTACCAAGCTAATCGAAAAAATGATTGTTTTTCTACAATGAACAGCTTTCATGAAACTTACAATTTGGTTTCGAATTTTTGCAGGACCTACCGGTACATGTTCAAGAACTGATTATGAAAATGAAATCCTCAAAATCCACTACTCCTTTTCCACCCAATTTACGGAGTTTTGCTCGTATGTTGCATTTCCACTCACCTAGTGCGTATAACGCGGTCAGAAAGTCGTTTTTAAAGTGTCTTCCAGCTGTTCAAACACTCAACAGGTGGTTGAGAACAGAAGACTTCTCACCAGGAATATCCTACGACATTATCAACAAAATTAGTGATTTCGTGCAGAAAGAAAAGGAAAAAGGTCGTACATTAGTGTTTAATTTGACTTTCGACGAAATGAGCATAAAGCAGCACAAGGAGTGGGATAAAGTCAAACATTCGTGGAAAGGATTGGTGGATCTGGGAGGTCAGCTTTCAGAAGCGGATGCAGGTGTTGATGCTCAAACTGCTTCTAAAGCTTTCGTTTTTGTTTTGGTAAGCATAAATGGTGGATTTAAGGCCGCCGTGGCACACTATCTCATTAGTTCACTGACTGGTGTTGAAAAGGCGATTCTTCTGAAAGATTTACTGTCAGTGCTAGGAGAAAAAGAGATCATGGTTATGAGCATTACGTTTGATGGGGATCCTGCACACCGAACTGCTTGCGAAAGTTTAGGAGCTAAATTAAATTACAATGCAAATGATTTCAAACCATACTTTAATCATCCTACAACCTCCGATCCTGTTTACATATTTTACGATCCGTGTCATTGCTTGAAACTTTGCAGGAATTATTTCGCATTGAAAGGTCCTTTTACATTTGAAAATCGTGACATTATAGACTGGCGATATATTATTAATTTGAATGAGAAACAAAAGAGCGAAAAGTTACATTGTGCCAATAAAATTAGTAATAGACATGTTAACTTCACTAACGAGAAAATGAAGGTGTTTTTGGCGGCGCAGGTTTTAAGCAGAAGTACGGCTGTAGCTTTAAGATTTATGGAAAATGAATTATGTGATCCAAAATTTTTAAACTCTGGACCAACAGCTACTTTTTGTGAAAACATTAATGAAATGTTCGACTTGTTAAACGTTCGAAGTCAGTTCAGCAAAAATCCCACCCGCATACCAATATTTCAGGATTCCCTGCCTGCAATGAGAAAAAAAATTGATGACCACATCGAGTACATCAAACGATTACAATTTTCTGAGCCAGTAAAAAGTAAGAAAAATTCGATCATAATTTACCGCGATATCTCAGTTTTGAAAAGTAGACTAGTAAAAACAGGTTTCATGGGATTTATAATTTCTCTGACAAACTTATACAATCTTGCTTTTAATTTAATTAACAATAGATACTTGAACTACCTATTAAGTTATAAGCTAAGCCAGGACCATGTTGAACTGTTTTTCTCTCTCATAAGAAGCATGAATGGACACAACAATAACCCGACGACAATACAGTTTTTATCTGCATACAAAAAACTCACTTTTCAAAAAATGTCATGTGTCACATCTAACTCTGCAAACTGCCTACCTTTAGATAAGACCCTTTTGCTGTCGAAGGATGAGAGCAGTGGTGACATTGCACTAAATAATGAAGAAACCAATCTCAACCCTGCTCAGAAAGTAAAACACGTATCTAAGAATAGTAAAGCTTTACCGACACTACCACAAATACTTCTTTCAGTTAACATTGACAGTTATTTCCTCAACCAAAATTGTCTTTCCGATCATAATTACAGCACATCAACATCTTGGGTATCTAATGAATATGCTCACGAGGTAACAGCTTACGTAGCAGGAGCAGTAGTGCACGTTCTTAAACAAAAAATTCACTGTCATCAATGCATTCAGTTAATAGTTGAGAGTACAAGTGAAAAGAAAAGTAAACTGACAAATATGAGAAACTGGGAGGGGTTAAAGTTTGCTTCAGATGATGTACATATTATATGCAAAGTAACAGAAAAAGTCATTAGACAAAACAGCAATCTTTTGATAAAAAATGTTTTTACTAAAATAACTCTTGAAACTTTGAATTTATTGCCAAGAAATATTTTTAATGACAGTCACTCTCTGGAACAGGAGGCACTAATGGACCATAGATCACAGTTAATTTTGTTAATTATATCTAAATATATAGATATTCGAATGGTGCATGAAGCTAAGCTTGC